GGACTTGCCTTAGTGATCTGGTGCTACTGTAACAGAAATACCATAAGTAGATGGATTTAACAGACATAAATTAATTATATCAAACTTTTAGAAACTAGAAGTCTGAATTCAGAGAGCTGGCTCTAGGAGCAGGCTCGCTCTCTTTCAGTTGGCTCTGGGGGAACCTCCTTGTCTCCTTTCAACGTCTGTGGGCCTGGCATTTGTTAGAGATTTACACTTGTCTTGACATCAGTCTTCTGGGTCTAGGAGGTTCTGAGCCTAGGGACTCTATGTCTAAAGGACATGCTCTACTCCTGGCTTTATTTTCTTGTCAGTTCCCTTGTCTCTGCTTCCTTCTTGCTTCTTTTACCTATTGTAAGGTAAAAGGAAGTACTCAATCCTGCCTCATTAACATATGTTGTTGTTGTTAAATGCCATCAAGTCAGTTCCAACTCTTAGTGATGCCGTATAGGGTTTCACAGGAGTGGCTGCTGGGTTTGAACTGCCAACCTTGCAGCAGTTCTGTAGCGCCACACCAGAGCTCCTCATTAACATAAGGAGGACTTCCACACAATATTGGGGATCATGGCCTAGCCAAATTGACATCCATGAGAGGACTGTGTTTTGCACATGTAAAATTTATTTACAGAGTTCTAATGTGGTTTTAGGAGTCGAGTCGTGGTGTGGCACTATGGGTTAATGCACCAGACTGCAAAGCTGTTTGAACTTTATGGTCAGCAGTTCAAGCTCACCAGCTGCTCCTTGGAAACCCTATACAGGGTCGCTATGGGTTGGAACCGACTCCATGGCACTTCACAACAACAACAACAGTGTGCTTTTGGGAGTCCTAGTGTGGCACTGTGGATTAATGTGCTGGACTGCAAAGTTGGTTTGAATCACAAGGTCCGTGGTTCAAGCTTACCAGCTGCTCCTTAGAAACCTTGTACAGAGTTGCTATGGGTCAGAACTGACTTGACAGCACTTAATGACAACAACAATGTGGTTTGGAGTCCTGGAGTGGTGCTGTAGGTTAAGTACAGGTCTCCTAATCACAAGGTTAGCATTTCAAACTCACCAGCTGCTTCTCAGAAATCATCCTATACAGGGTTGCTATACAGGGAACTGACTAGACAGCACTTAACAACAATCAGGTTTGGAAAGAACCTTGGTGGTGCAGTGGTTAAGCATTCAGCTGATAACTGAAAGGTCAGTAGTTTGAACTCACCATAGGAGAAAGATGTGGCAATTTGGTTCCCTGAAGATTAAAGTCTTGGCAACTCTATGGGGCAGTTTGGCTCTGTCATATAGGGTTGCTATGAGGCAAAATTGACTCTCTGGGATTTTCTAATGGGTTTAGGAATCCCTGAGTGCTGCAGGTGGTTAGAGATCTCTCAACTGCTGAGAGATCAGAAGTTTGAATCCACCCAGAAACATGTTGGAAGAAAGACCTGGTGATCTTCTAAAAAACCCTATAGAGTTATTGGTCTGATAGACTTGTGGAACCCCTGAGATTGTGGCCTTTAGACACCTTTCAAGCCTAAAATTGAACCCACCCCTGGAGATCAACTTTTAGCCAAACAACAGACAAGCCTATAAAGTGAATATTAACATCAGCGTAGAACGTACTCCTTAGTACAATGAACTATCCTTAGTACAATGAACTAAAAGGGCAACATTTGCCCCAAAATAAAGCTCAAAAAGTAGGAAGGGGCAGGGAGGCAGGGTGACTGGCAAGGGGAACCCCAGGAGGAAGGGGGAAGAGTGCTGTTATATTGAGGGGAACTGCAACCAGTGTCACAAAAAAAAGAATGTGTGTAAATTGCTGAATAGAAAATGAATTTTCTATGTACTTTCACTGAAACTGCAATATAAAAAGGGAGAGAGAGAAAGAAAGAAAACCTTCCAGAACACAGTTCTATTCTGATACACATTGGGTGTCATGACGTGAGTTGGAATAGACTTAGGGCAGTTGGAGGTACAATATGGTTTGAGAAAATGAGAATGGGTGGGTGGGGCTCAGGAAAATCCAGGGATGCAGCTGCAACAGGTTCAGTGGCTCAGGATGAGAGGGGTTCTCTACCAAGCATAGGAGCTGGCTCTCCCGAAAGGCTTTGTTGTGGGACATGTTGGCAGTGATTGATGTGCATTTTGTTGCTGTTGTTAAGTGCCATCAAGTCGGTTCCAACCCATAGCAACCCTGTATAGGTTTTCTGAGGAGCGACTGGTGAGCTTGAAATGCCAACCTTGCAGTTCAAACAGCTGTACAGTCTGGCGTATTAACCCACAGCGCCACACCAGGACTCTGATTCAGGTTCATGGTACCAATTAAAGGGAAAGAAGATCAGGGTCATCTTAGCAAGATTTCATTAAAAAAAAAAAAAAATTTGGCTATTTAAAAGTCGTGTCATAACAGGATGAACGGGAGCTCATGTGAGACTTCATTGCCTGGCATATTGTAAGTGCTCAATAAACTTCCTTTAGATTTTTCTTTGGAAAGGTCATGTCTGTAAGGTATCTTACGCTCTGTTGATGTCAGATAAACGAAGCATTATGACCTGGTTTGCTCTTACTTATTTGCATTCTCCATTAGGCTTTTTGGGGGCAAAGACTAATCAAGTTGTGTTATGGTTCTCTGCCTTCCCTGCCAGGGGACTGTACTAATTGGATTATTTACAGTTGACAAACTTGATTTTCCACCTCTGAACGCACATTGACTGCTTCTGCTTCATTCACAGGACGTGTTACCAATTTGAGGTGAAATCATGACAAGAAGATAGAACAAATAATAATGCTTTTCCGCAACCGCTTCTTGCTGCTGCTGGCCCTGGCTGCGCTGCTGGCTTTTGTGAGCCTCAGCCTGCAGTTCTGTGAGTATGACTGGGTCCTGGGAGTGTGTGTGTGTGTGTGTGTGTATGGGGAGGCTTCCTTCAGAAATAGAGGGCCCCACTCCTCAGAAGCCCTATACAGGCTCACTATGAGTCACAAATGACTCAATGACACTTAACAACAGCAACAAGTGTGTAAGATAAGGGCAGTGGTGTGATTCAGTAGTAGAATTTTTACCTCCAGGCAGGAGACCCAGGTTTGAATCACCTCAAAGGCAGCCACCACCTGTCTGTTAGTAGAGGCTGGGATGCTGGGATGCTGAACAGGTTTCAACAGAGCTTCCAGACTAAGACAGACTAGGAAGAAAGACCTGGAAAACTACCCTATGAATCACTCAGTGGCTTGGGATTGCTACTTGCAACCCTTCACACTGACACAATAATAAAAGATAGCTTTGTTTTAAACCTCAGAGTCATGTAAAATCCTCACAAATGAACCAACAAATAACACCATGATAAATGAAAAAGACACTGAAGTTGTCAGAGATTTCATTTTGCTTGGATTCACAATCAATGCTCACAGAAGCAGCATTTAAGAAATCAAACGACATATTTCATTAAGCAAATTTGCTGCAAAGAAACCTCTTTAAAGTGTTAAAGAGCAAAGGTGTCACTTTGAGGGCTAAGGTGCTCCTGACCCAAGCCATGGTGTTTTCAGTTGCTTCATATGCATGTAAAAGTTGGACACTGAATAAGGTAGATCATAGAAGAATTGATGCATTTGAATTATGATGCTGGAGAAGAATATTGAAAGTACCAGTACCATGGACTGCCAGAAGAACCAATAAACAAGTCTGTATTGGAAAGAAGTATAACCAGAATGCTCCTTAGAAGTTTCTGGAAAGATTTACAGCCTTGGAAACCCCATGAGGCAATTCTACTCTGCCTATAAGATTGCTGATTCAGAATCAGCTTGACAGTAACAGATGTGTTTTTTTGTGTGTGTGGTTATCATTTAAAAGACAAAGGCTTGGAGGCCTATTTATGTCCTATCCTTGCTGTCACTCTCAGTTTATGCACTGTCTAGTCCTACACCTCCCCATGATAGGTTTAGCATCATGGTGTTGGTGTTGCTAAGTGCCATTGAGTCTGTTCCCATTCATACTGATCCTGCAAAGGGTTTCTGAGGAGAGGCTGGTGAGTTTGAACCACTGACCATGCAAGCCTTCATTGACAAACAGGTAGCAGCTTTGCATGAAATGTGTTGACCTGGAATTGAACCCAGGTCTCCTGCATGGAGAGTTCTCTCACTGAACCACCACTGCCCCCTTTTTGAAAGGCAGGCTTGCCCTAATTTCCTTTCCTACCTGTGTTATCTCCCTGAAGCTAAGGAAACTTCTGTATAAAGAATTGTGTGTCTGCTGATTTGTGTTTGAGGCCTTCTCTCAGGTTCACGGCATCACCATGCTGTTAAGGGAGACTGGTGTCTGGCATTCATTTTCACCCAGGATATCTCTGTGAGGAGCTGATATTTAAGGGAGGGTATTATTTCTGTCGTAGTTTCCAGTGATGTAAGTAAGAGTAGGTAGCTCTGTGTGTGGAGTGTTCTGAGTGCACTGAGGAACCTGGTACTAGACCTGGCTTTTGGGGAGAGGTGGTTTGGGTGAGGTGGTTTTGAGCAAGGTTCCCTTCCAATTTCTGATTTATTCCCACGCACACACCTGGTGCCTATTATGGGTTGTTTTTAATAGTAAAGAGAATAAAAAGCACTAAATCCTTTCAAACTAGGAAAAAAGAGATAAAACAAATGTAGCATAAGAAAGTCAAAGACACTCCAGATGGTTAATGAACTGTAAAATATGAATCCTTTCCAAAAAGTGCATAGGATTCTCAGTAGTTTCCATAGTTTACAACTTTTCATTTAAAAATTTCCATACTTTGGTGGGAAAAGTAGAATGTTTCATTTGCCTCTGATTTTTCTTGTGAGGCCTGACAGGTCTGAGACATGAATGTGGGTCGCCTGTGTTTGCTGCATTTCTCTTGTATGAGCTGGTTTCCACGTCACTGAGTTGGCCTGTGTGTTTTGCTTATATAACTCTTCTGAAAGTACCTTCTGTTTTCGGAAAACCAATTTTCAGCCATACTTTTTAAGGAAATTTTTGCAGGGTAAATTAGCCTGGCTAGTCAGAGACTTTTATTATCTGATGCGTTAGCGATCGGGAAGATACTAAGAGATGGACATTCTTACTGCTCTTCTACTTCTAGGTAAACTATAACTTTAGAATTTATTCTTCTCTGTAAAATGGAGTTTAGTGGCTTTATTTGTTTCTTTAATTCATACTTGTTGTGGTGTAAGAAACTGTGCAAACGTTTTCACTTAAGTAACGCTCATGTTTTCAACTCTGACATTTATGGACTTTTTCTTCATCATTTCTTTTGGTTTCTTTTTGGATTCCAAATTAGAACATACAATTTTAGGTAATAATCATATCTGACAATCAAACATAACTTGGTTTTCTCCTGCTTTAAGTAAACAGTATAGTCTTATTTGTTTTCTGAAATGAAATATTTTATTTTGTCTTGAAGGTAGTTTTCTGATGCTTTGATTATCAAAAAGTTATGAGCCAGATTATGAGTCAAAAGTCAAGTTGTTTAAAAGTATTTCTTCGTTTTAGTTCAGAAAGTATATGCGTGAACTCCAAGGTATTTATTAAGTGCTTAGATATGTTTTTCTGTATTGTGGGCTTAGTAAAGAAAAGATTCTAAATCCATTAAGACACAGTTCATAGTTTCTCAAAAAAATAAAACAGAAAACAGTTCATTTAATAGTACAAATGATTTGCTATATACAAATAGCTCTTAGTGAAAATCATTTGTTTGTATTTTCAAGTTCTGGATGTTTTTGAATTTAGAAATAGGGACATTCTGAAATCCCTGATATTAGAATAAGAGGAACAAGTAAGGCATAACTATCTTTAGTTTTCATAGTGAAAACATCATGTTGAGTAAGTCACAAGTGGAAAAATAACTCCTGAAATTGAGGCATTCTTCAGTGCAACAGTGAGAGATTGGCTGGGTGTGAAGCTTTCTCAATAATTAGTTATATTTCTGCTTTGTTCTGCCCATTTGTAATCATCTGCTTGCCAGCATTTCCTTAATGCTTATTTTGTGCTCATTTTTGCCATGTTCCCAAAATGGCGGTGTGAAAAGAGCACACAGGCTCTGGAATCAGCAATCTTGGGTTTGAATACTGGTCCCTCCCCACTTAGCAGCCCTGAGCCCTTGGGCAGGTTTAATGTCTCCGAGCCTCTATTTCCTCTTCTATAAAATGGGGCTAGTGAGTGTTGCTTTGCAAGGCTGGTGTGAGAGCAAGGCACTTTATAGAAAAACTCCTGGCTCAAGGAAGTATATTCAGTACAAACCTTTAAAGCAAACAGTCGTGAGTCCCAGCATACACATATCACCATCAGAAATTCCTGGAGTTTCAGGGGCTGCCAAGGCTAATGCTACAAGCTTTTGAAAGTTATTATTTTTTTGGTCAGAGTACACTGGCCATTGCTATGGATTGAATTGTGTGTCTTTCATCCTTCTCACCGCCACCAAAAAAATACATAAATATATGCTGAAGAATTCCTGTTCCTATCAGTATGACCTGTTTGGGAATAGGTTTTCTTTGCTATGTTAATGAGGTCATACCAGAGTAGGCTGGATCCTAAACCTTTAAGAGATGATTTATAAAAAGATTAGAATAGACTTGGAGATGCACACAAGGGGAAGACAGACACCAGGAATGCCAAAAATGCTACACTGGGGCTGAAGCTCAGGCAGAGTGGGCAGCTTCTAGCAACCTGGCAGAAGTGCCATAGACATGCAGATGGGATTTCCAGGGCTGTGGATGGCAAAGGATCCTCCCACAGAACTGATCCCCTGATTTTAACCTCCAAAACCCGCAACATTAAGTTCCTGCATTTTAAACCACCCACTTGTGGTGGTTTTTGTTACAGCAGCCAGAATGAAGTCCGTCTGCACTGGGCATATGATGACCCTCTCTTATGCAGGACCATGTCTGTTCAGATAGGCTCAGAGGGAAGTGTGGAAGGTGTACTAAAGATTCAGATCCCCTGGTGGAAGGGGAAAGGTTTAATTTGCAGAAGTGAGAACCAGAGTTGTCTTCAATATTTGAAAAGCCATCTGTGAAAGGGAGATCAGACCAGTTTTATGTAGTCCCAGATATTTCAGTATGTGTAAGGTTGGAATTTCCTACAAGCCAGTGTCATCCGGAAGTGGAATGGGTGCTGAATTCTGGTGGCGGTGTGCTCTCCATCCCTGAAACCTCCGCATTCTGGAGGGTTGCTCTATGTAGAATGTACCATGGGGACTGGGATATTAGGCAAGTTACTGGACCAAATCCCATTTAAAGTCTCTTCAAACTCTGAGAATTTATGAATTTGTCTTTCCTTGTTGATCCAGTATCAAGAGTATGTACACCTTTGTTCTTCAGCAAACATTCTTTTGAGTTTCTTCTAAGTGGCAGGCTGGGAGTCGAATCCCTAAAAGGGAGGGTACAAGGAGCTCTCTGTTTGGTTAGGAAGAACCCTGAGCAGACACTTGGAATACAGCATGCAGTGTGCTACAATGAGTAAGAGACAGCAAGGTGAGGAAGAGCATGGAATCTGGGTCCCTGTGGCCTTGGGCAGTCTGTTTATCCTCTTCATGCTGTGGTTTCTTCATCTATAAAATAGGGATAATGACAATTTCTAGCTCATATGTTTGTTAAAGGAATAAACGAGCTAATATTTTTATAAGAAACTTAGAACACATAGTAATCTTTGTCTGTGTATTTGTTTTTCAAACAAAAAGATCCTTGCCCTAAAATCAGTTCTGACTCATGACAGTCCCCTGTGGGCCAGTGTAGAAGCTGTACTCCGTAGTTTTCAAAGCTGATTTTTGGGAAGCTGATTGCCAAGGCTTTTTTTCCAAGGCATCTCTGGGGTGGACTCAATCTTCCAGCCTTTTAGTTAGCAGCTGAACATGGTAACCATTTGCATCACTTAAAGCCTTGTAAATAACATAAATCAGAGCTCATTTATGGCAGTGTGGTATGGGAGAACAGGAACTAGAACCAATTGTACCCTGGAGGCTTAAGGAGGACTTCCCAGAGGGGATGACATCTGACCTGAATGAAGCTGTGGAAGGATGTTCCGGCAAACAGAGCAGATGTGCAAAGGCAGGGGCTGGTGAGTCACCTGTAGATAGGTGTGAGATTAGACCAAAGGCCAGGCCAGGCCCTACACCACTTGACCACATTATGTCCTGAAGACTGAAGGGAACCGCTGAAGCAGGGGGAGAGTGTATCCGATTTGGAAAGATCCCAGGAGGACAGTGTGTTCTCTGGGACTCTTTTATCAGAAGTACCTTACCAGGAGAAGCTTGTTAAAAATGTACGTTCTAAAAACAAAAAGAGCACATTCCTGTGTCCCACCCCCACCTCTGCTCCTACATAATCAGAATCTTAGTAGGGGTGGGGCCTAGAAATCGACATTTTTAACAAGCTGTCAGGGTGAGTCTAATGTACTCTGAGAATTCCCCATTGGGAGGCCCATGGACAGGTGCTGCTGGGAAGCATCTCAGGAGCTGTTTTACTGTTGTTATTGTTGTTGTTGTGTTCTGTCAAGTTGATTCCAACACATGACATCCCTATAAATGGCAGACTAGTGCTGTCCTGTAGGGTTTCCTAGTCTGAATTTTTAAGGGACTAAATTGTCAGGTCTTTTCTCCCATGAATCCACTGGGTGGGTTCGAACTGTTGACCTTTTGGTTAGTGGCCATTATGAAATGACTTGTGTACCCCTAAAATTAGGTGTCAACTTGGCTGAACCATGAGTTTCAGTACTATGTAATTATCCTATGTGTTGTAAATCTTCACCTCTGTGATGTTAATGAGGCAAGAGTAGAGGCAATTATGTTAATGAGGAGCCAAACATATCCTTTGGACCTCAGCCACTGTGTGGGGAACTCCTAGAATCTAGAGAGAAAGCCTCCTCCTACAGTGGTGGTGGTGGTGGTGGTGGTGGTGGTAGTTGTGTGCCATGGAGTCTGTTCCAACTCATGGCAACCCTTCATAGGGTTTCTGAGACTATAAATCTTTATGGGAGCAGAAAGCCTCATCTTTCTCTCGCAGAACTTCTGGTAGTTTCAAACTGCTGACCATGAGGTTAGCAGCCTGACTCGTAACCACTACCTACCAGAGCGCTTTCCTCCTACAGTGAGTACCCTGAATTCAGATTTCTAGCCTCTTAAACTAAGAGAGAATAAACTTTTGTTTATTAAAGCCATCCACTTGTTATATTTCTGTTATAGCAGCTGCACTCGATGATGAAGACAGTAGCTGAACTCTTAACCATGATACCAGGGCACCTTGTTTTAGGTTAATGGCAAAGCCAAGAAACATTGAGGGGGTGAGGTGATGCTCTATAAGTTTTTAGAGCTTATGGATGGAGGTGGGGGAGAAACAGCAGGATAAAAAGAGAAAGGTAGGGGCACATGGGGGAGACTCCACCATGACCCTTAGGATTCTGGCTTGAGTGGTTCAGTTAGATGCTTAATTTTGTCATTTGTGCCTACATCTGTATAAATGTCTCCTCTCTCTCCAGGATAAGTATGCTGAAGGTTGAGGTAAATACCAAAAACATAAGGAGCAACATGTAAGGCTGGTGCCCTTCCCCAGTTTCCTGCTTGGACAAGGGAGCACACTCAGAACAAGAACAGAAACAGGATGAAGCCAAGGTGATGGGTGAAGTTAAGAGCAAAGCGTCAGGAAGAGTGGGTTGAGGGAAGACAATAAGGTACATTGGGGTCATGCTGCCTTGAAGGTACCTGAGGGTTGAGTAGGTTCATTATCCTGCCTGAGAGCTGAGTAGGTGCAGTATATGAAGACTAAGAGAAGACCATGTTAGGAGCCTCTGTTTGGGGATGGGGTAGTACCTTTCAGAGGTTTGCACCAAACTTAGGAAGGACCAGGTCTCCTAAACGCATATGGAAGAAGCTCCAGACCCAGCCCTGTGTACTTGTTTCATTTGGCGCAAGCAGTGTTTTCACATTTTAAAATTTATTTACCAAATGTTTTAAAAGCTAGAGAATTTAATATAAATACCAAGCCCCTCTTTAAAAACTCACTGTCTCCAGCCACTTGAGGCCCACGTTTCCTTACAGGCATGATGCTGGACCCCATCTTTTTTCCCACAGACCCCACCACTCCCTAGTTT